TTTATTATTTTTATGTTTATGAATGTATTGCCTGCATGTATGTGAGTGCACCCATGTTGTGCAATGCCATGGAGATCAGAAGAGGGCGTCGGATTCCCCTGGAACTGGAGTTAAGAACGGTTTGTAGCCACCATGTGGGTGCTGGGAATCGAACCCAGGTCCTCTGCAAGAGCAATCAGTGTTCTTACCTGCTGAACCATCTCTCCAGTCCCAACATATATTATTTTAAAAGTTCATCAGATATATCGGTATATTTTGTAAGATTAATGGAATTTGGTCAAAATGATACACCAAGCCGCCTTAACTCCAGTGTGCTTCAACCAGTGTGCTAAAATGATGGCTTATAACACAAATGGCCTTTGGGAACCTTTGCCTTAAACTTTGAATGACTCCTGCCAAGGGTCGGGCCAGTGGCCCAGACAACAAGGAGACACATTATCACCCTTTCTGTGGGCTCACATCTGATGGGAGCTCACGAGTGGGACCAAGCCTGGAGAACACAGGTGAGGAAGGCTGAGGAGTTAGCGTGGCTGACAGGTGACGGGAGGCTCTGCAGGCAAAGCGCAGCTGGAACACCTCATTCCTCGCAGAAATGAGTATGGAGCACTGAGTGGTACTTGGTGTTCCGTAGGCAGATCCTCATGAGCTTTCACGTACCATCCTAGCCTTTCAATATTTGCTCCTCCCACTAAAGCCTCTTTTTCTCATGCCTTTAGTATGTGCTCATCCTAACATCCAGATCTTTTTCTAAAACACGTGGACATCAACAGCTGTAGTTTTATTTTCAAAGAGTCATTTATTTTTCAATATTTGCTCCTCCCACTAAAGCCTCTTTTTCTCATGCCTTTAGTATGTGCTCATCCTAACATCCAGATCTTTTTCTAAAACACGTGGACATCAACAGCTGTAGTTTTACTTTCAAAGAGTCATTTATTTTTCCATTGCAAAGTAACTATGAAAAAAGATAGCGCGTGCCTGTGTCCGTGTGCTGGAGCGGTGGTGACAGAGTCTCCTTGCACAAATACGAAGGTCTTCAGAGCTGGGACATGCAGGGCTGGAAGGCAGTCCTCAGAGATGGACAACTGGGATATGACCTCTGAGAATGTGGCAGGAATCCACCTGCTTGTCACCTATTTCTTGAGATTCACTGTTGGAGGACAGAACAAAAGTCCTTTCTGAAAGAGAAGAGGTCAATAGATGAGATTATTCAGGAATCTCTTCTTTGGTTGATATTGACATTCCCTCTTTGTAGAAAATATCTATACTTGGACATCAGACTAGATGTGAAACCCACAGTGTGTAGAGGAAAATGAACTCCTTCCCTTGATTACTTCTCTCCTTCCACCTTTACATGAGTTCTGAGGATGGAACTCAGTCCCTAGGTTTGTGCACCAAGTTCCTTTACCTGCTGAGCCATGTGGCCAAGTGCCCCTGTAATAATGTTTTGAGAATCATTGGGAAGCTTTGTCCCAGAATCACAAGAATTCATACCCTCTGCAGGTATCACAAGTTAGAAACTGTTTTTTTTAAAGACGGGGTCTCCCTATGGCCCCAGCTGGCCTGGAACTTGCTATGTAGACCAGGCTGGCCTCGATCTCACAGAGTTATGCCTGTCTCTGCCTCCTGAGTGCTGGGATTAAAAGTGTGCACCACTACTGCTGGCTAGAAGTTTTTAAGACAGGGTCTTGCTATGTCCTGTGGGGTGGCCTGAAACTGGTGACGATCTTCATTCCCAGCTTCCTAAGTACTAGGATTACAGGCTTGAGGCACCAGCTCCAGCTTTTTTCCTTCTTATACAGGCACAATCCTAGTGGACTACAGACTCACCCCCATGGCCTTGTTGTCCTTAGTTACCTCCTAAAAGTCCCACCTCAAAGAGAGTCCATCACCACTGTGACAGATCCAGTACATGAATCATGGCCTTGGTTCACACTTAATTTTCAATGGGAAAGCACATGACTCTAAAATTAAAAAGTCGTGCTTTAAAGAGTAGCACAGAGGCACAGAGGGGAGACTACCACAGTCAGGGTGGCTAAAATGCTTCACAGGGTCCAGATGAGCTGGGCCTTCAGTAAGAGTTTAGCAGGCTGGAGATACAGGGAAG